ATTACCTATGACTCTGTCTTTTCCTCAATCATCACCGAACACATTTCAAAATACCAAAAAATAATGAACCAAAATTAAAATCTTTATAAACTAAGTTTGATTACCAAAAGTTAATCGTATACATGTGTGTGAATAACTTTTGAATTCAGTTGATTTTAGAAGTACATTATAATATAGCAGCTAGTGTTTGTAATATTATTGTTGTAACGCCAGGGGAATGTAAAGATGACAAAATTCTGTGACAGCAAATTATATGACAAGCATCCAATGAATGGAGTAAAATCTTACATGAAATCAAACGCCCTTTGATGCATCAAGACATTTACATCACATGTAACAACTTCAATACAGGGATTTTCACTGACATCATCATCACCTTTGACATTCATCTTGTTTTCTCGACAGTTGTGCTTGATCAGATTCGTGGATTCTTCGTTGATATCGGAGATAACTACTCGTACATTACAGTGTTTGGCCCATTGTAAGCCCATAATTCCTGGCAGAAAAACACTTCATCAATTGTATTAAAATATAAACAGATATTTCTTATTTCAGAGACATTGGTAATATTGTTTAAAGGGTAATATGATGATTCTGACAGTTGTGCAGACCAACGAGTACAAACTGAGATGTTACCAAGCTTTTAACTATGTAATTTCTTAGCGTAGGCAACGACCACATCATTTGAAGCATGCTAATTAACTAACTCATTAATATTAATAATTGTTTTCTGACTATGATGTGTTTCTGAAATTGGGCAATCCAACAGCCATTTTTAATTTATAATAGTTTGTATTTATAAACCATATTTTATGAAATATATTAGATTTCAAATTGGGAAACCGTGAAATGGTATTTTGACATCATCATGAGTAAGGCCAGACTTTTTTTATTCTTTGCTTCTCAAGTTTTTATAAGACAATTTTTTGGGGGCGGGCGAAAAAAAAAAAAAAATTTTTTTTTAATGATTTGTGTGATTCTCAAAGAATTGTAAGTGAGATCATTGATCGGAGAGAAAATGAAATACAATGTTATTCCATGTATAACCTTGTTTCTCATCTGCGCGAGACTTCGGTACTTTGATCATGATACTCCCACGAAAATGCAACTTGGGTTTGTTATGCAGCGGCCTGAAAAAAAGTTAAGATAAACAATTTTTTTTTTTGCATTTTTTTGCACTTACAAGTCTGCGGGCGCGAGAAATTGCACTGAAATAAAATTTTATTTTTATTTCATTTTCAGCTTCTGTTCATTCGGCAGGTTCGCGAAACAAGGGATAACAAAAGTCTGGCCTAATAATTAATATTAATCAGCAATCCAATCAGCAAGTGCTTCATTTTGAATATATGGGTAGTGGTAGTTTCAGTTGCTATGTCACATAGAGACATGTACATGCATTATACATGTAGGTAATGTTGAGTTCTTAAGCCAATCACCATTTAAGATTTTAATTTAAATAAAAGCTGATGATCTGTATTTGTGTACGCATGTTTATAAAATAAGGTACAGATTTCTGTCAGATCATTTTTCAAGAAATGTACCATAGTATGGTATAGTATGATGAGTTGCAAACAGAGGTCAGTTTTTATTCACTCAATTAATTAATTTAGATGTGGTTGTGATTGATTAACTCCCTCTATAGTCCATTACAATTATTTCTTTTGTACACAAGAAAAACATAACATATAGATACCTGTAGCTCCGAATGCATCCAGACATTCTAATGGTCCATCACTTTCACCAGCAAACGTTGCAAGAGAGCACAACACTAACTCCCTGTCAACAAAAATTAGGCAAGTGTTACATTTTTGTCAGCAAAGGTCTTCGGGGGGGGGGGGGGGAACGCCTCATCTTGGAAAGAAAAGTTGCACCACCAGCATACAGCAATGAACATACCTATTTTGTCGCATTTTGGGGTTGAAAAATGAATTGGTCTTTCCTGGTGAAAGGTGATTAGATTTTATTGTAACTTTGATCCCATTTTCACTGACAGTCCTTTCCAGAGTCTCCTCTGACGTGGATTGTTGACTTGCTTGCTTCGCCATGCTGTTATTGAACTATGACATGTAACCAAACACTACATACGGCCACAAGAGGGCGTTAACTAACAGATACTCGTATACGGTCTCAAACTCGGAACTTTCATGCGAATGCTGTTTCAACAGAAGTTCAAAAAAGCACCACAAAAATAAATCTATAATGTAAGTGTGAAAATAATGTCCTCAATGCGAACTAACCCCCCAGCTCCCTCCCCTACATTTCAAAATGGTTACCCCTAAACTGCGATTGACGATTTCCCATTTGTGATTTTAATAGTTGGCAAATAAATTGAGATTGAAGTCGGAGCAAAAACTACTACTCGATGTAGTCACCTAAGTTGGTTACTTCAAGTTGGTAGTCCTTATGCCTTCCATTGAGTGTTAATTAATAACATTTGCATTTTCTTTTTAAGACTGTCTCCGTGCGTTAGCCAGACCGGTACCGGCCAAGTCGTTCTATAAACAGAAATAGTGTGTACATGGCTTACAGTGCTTATTGTTGAAACAATAATATTGTTAGCGGTAGTACCTGTCCTGGCACTAGGTTTGGAGTACACCTGTCACTTTACACTAAATACGTTAAGGTTGACTCATTGAATGTAAGATATTTTAATTTTACTTTAATTAAACTGCAATATAAGATGAAATTTAATTGATATTTATCTTAAATAGAAACGTAAATCGTGGTTTAGTTGTGACCATTTAAAACCAATGTACACATATAATTCAATATCAAAATCATAAATTAATACTAATGCAGATTGAAGAAGATCAGATAAAAATGAGTTGTTTTGTAACTATAACTGGATAACGTCAAAGTCAAAAAGGACTGTTATTATAATTGCTACAATGTTAATGCATTTGCCGGGAACTGACGAACATACAAGCATGGAGGTAAAAGGCAGTCTTTTACCTCTATAATACAAGCAACCAGTAAGCGCGCCCTATACTACTCTGAAATCGATCCAACAAATTATTGAGGGCGCAATTGACAAAACACAACCCAACATATGTTCTTCGGGAATGTCCATGGGAATGCAAGATGCGCGAAATATTTATAGGATGCTCAAGCACGTGACCTGACCCAGTCTGGAATTCTGGATCGCTGAACACACCAAATACGACACTCTAATAAAGATGATGCAATACCTGACCTTTAACCTCGTCATTGTGTAGACGTTAAAGTTACTGTGTCCATACAGTCTTCTAAACTGACGCTCGTAAACAAGTTGACAGGGTATTAACAAACCCAACTAAATGACAAAAAGGGTTCTGCATTTAAAATGATGACAATCTATGTTCAACGACCGAAAATGAAATTCCAGGACAATATCATTACAGCTTTAGTTATTTTCCAGCTAGTTTATTAGCAAACTAATATTTTTTTTTTTGCCTCAGTTAAAACCACCAAAATTTAGCTTTTTCTCGTGTTGTAACCAATTTGCAATGTGCTTTCATCCAAAGCAAACAAAGTGATGTGATTCGGCAGTCTATGCATATTATAGAATTGTACAAACACATACTAGCATCCTTTTTGGATCTTTAGTTAAATTACAATAAAGCGAGATGAAAATAAAATACCAATATATAATTTACTTTAAGGGTTTTGCTAACAGCAAAACCTTAATATTTGCTTTATTTAGATGGCAATGGAGGCTTTCTCCCAGCGTTATTTTCTATTATTTTGAAATGTATTTATTAAGCTAGTTTTATTTTAAATTGTTCTATCGTGGCTGTTTGACAGTGATATTTGCGACTGTTTAGCTGGTTTCTTTCATTTTTATACAATTTGCAGTCCAGGAGAAAATGTTTTCTCATCTTCAATTTTGCCCAAGACACATTGGGCATTTTTTTGAAAGCATATTTTATTGCAGCGAACAATTTCCATTTGTACAATATAGGTGCTTGTTCTTATTCATGCTGATCCGTTTAGAGTTGTTTTTTTGCTGAAAGATACCCGTGTTCGCTTTTATTATCAAGATGTTTCAGAGATTACCAACAAGTTTTCATTACCAAGGCAGCATAATGCAGATGTTGGCTCTCCCATATATTGTTTGCATTTACACATTTTTCAGTCCAGTTTCTGAGCTAGGTATAGTTCTTAATCTCCATTCCAAGACTACATGCTTCATGGACTAGAGAATTTTTATTTTTTAGCGACTGTTAACATTACATTTTAAACTTCAGTTAAAAATATACATAATTGTATTTATGACCTTGTTAAATATTTCTGCCAATAATGAATGTCATTTAACATCAGCTATAAATACCAAAGTTATTCTGCAGGCAGCCATTTTGATCTAATAGTGTAATCGCAGTATGCCCACACAGCAGATAATGAAGGCGATTAAATACAACTGGTGATAAACACTAATGCACAACAAATTCAAATCTTAAACTTCTTTTATTATTAACATTTTGTTTGCTTAAAACTACATACAAAAAGGTCAGTTGTGTAAATACATATGCGAGAAGTTTTCAATAAATAGTGGAGATTGAAGTGTCATCTCCCACCACAATATTGACAGCTGATGCCATCTACTTGGGGTCGCAGGGAAATGTCAATGTGGTAGTTTTCAATTACTTTAACCCTGCTTAGCAGGGAATATTTGCTCCCTGAAGAAAAAAATTAAAATAAAATTGCTGAATAATTGGGCAGTATATTCTCACCATTTTTAACCTAAAATAATTCCAATTAAAAATAAATTCTGGAACTGAAAACAAAAAATATACATTTTCGAACATTTAAAAATGATGAAATCAAACCCTCCCCTCCCATAAAGTCAAAAATATCGGAAGATCTCCAAAATGGTTCAATTGTTTTACAGAATAGATAGAGTTCTGATGGATGTACAGCCACAAGTACAGTTCTCAGCAATTAACAATTGTCTTCATCTGCAACTGCTGCTTCCTCCTCCCAATTATCAAGAATTGTTGTTCGCACCAAGGCTTCTGTTACACGATATGGATCACAGTTAGATGATGGTCTACGATCTTCAAAATAGCCTTTTTTGTCTTCTCCAACCTGGATGATGAAATAAAAACATGTACAAAGTTTAATCAAGATAATGCATGAAAAACATAAAAAAAGTCTAGTGGTAAACATGTTTACAAGTCTAGGCAATCATTGATAAA